GCACAGCGCACATTCTCTGACACCTCTGAAACCAAACTGTTAGAATGTTGTCACCCGTACATTGCCTACAGCAAGAAGACCTCGCCATGACAGTAGAGGCAGTAGAGGCAGTAGCTAGCTGAGGAAAATTTGGTACTATGCTATGGGTAAGGTTCATGTCCAGCATTTTCTTCGTCTCCACATGTGCATCACAGTCTGAACTCCACTCTACGTGTGCTGCTTCCCACTGTTTTCGGTGCTCTCCTTTTCTCTACATGTATATCTCATTTTCTCTCTCTCTTTCTCTCTCTCTTTCTCTCTCTCCTATCCCTCTTCCTCTAGTATAAGATACCAATTACCATTTAGAGGAGTCAGAATGGGCTATACCAGCCAGTTGAACTTCCAACAGAGTACATATATTATTTGGTCAAAAGTACAGATTTGTGCGCTGCAGGAGGTAGAGTGGAACTCACTTCAGTTGGTACTAGTACTCTGATACGACATACTCTTGTTTAGTATGGACATTGTCCAGAGAAAGGGTAAAAAAATGAAGTAAATTGTCGTGTCCGTTCCTGAAGGGAGCTCATGACGGCCGCTAACACCCGGTAAACCCTAGAAACCAGAGAAAGGGCGTATTTGTCTACACTGAAGTATGTCAGGATAAGAAGTGCCTGGCCAGGCTACTAAGAACACTCTCCTGCTGCCCATTGGGTACTACAGTAAAACCTGTAACTAAAGACCACCGTGACTAGCGACCAGCCTGGTACTACAGTAAAACCTGTAACTAAAGACCACCGTGACTAGCAACCAACCTGCTACTACAGACCACTTCGCCAGGCATGGACAGTCTCATATTCATAATTATTATGGTTGTGCGGTGCAAACCTCCAACTAAGGACCACCTGCCACTAAAGACCGCTTTCTCCGGCCCCCAAGGCCAAGGGGTGGTTGTTAGTCACAGGTTTTTACTGTATACTGAGTTCTACCCTAGCCCTCAGCCCTTGGTGCACTCTGCACTGCTATCACAGTGCTATCACAGTGCTATCACAGTGCTAGTGCTAGTGCCTGTGTGCTCAGGTTTGCAAACACTGTCAAGGATACTCCGGGCAACATCAAGCTGCTAGCAAGTATGTCTACATCAACAGCTAAATCCTGTTAGCAATGATAGGTCAAATTATTGAGACAAGTAGTAGTAGTACATGTAGTAGCATGGCTCCTCATCATAGTAGCACACAAAAAAAGCCCATGGACTGCTTGGAAGCTTTGCATATGAATTGCCTGGTGACAAAGAGACAGTACTGATGTTTATCTGATCAAGGCAGGGTGTGTGTGTCAGCATCATTGTGATGCCGGCTGCACTTGCACCAGCCCTAGCCCTCCCAGTGCCTAGGGCCGCTGAAAAACGCAATTAATTCCAAGCCCAGTAGCCATCTTGTCAGATCCACCCAGCTAGGTACTACTAGTACTAGTACTGCTTGGGCACTGGACTAGAACTTTTGTCACATGATTGCACACAACATGGCATTACATCACATTGACTATACACAGTACAGCAATATACATGTACCACAATGACTACATACAGTACATGACTGTCACATGACTGCACACAGTACAGGAACATATCACATGACTGCACACAGTACAGCACCATAATCACATTGACTGCATACTGTAGTGTACAGCACTACTATACTCAGTAATTATACTTACATGTATTATCACATTGACTGCACACAGCATAGCACTATGTCACATGACTAGTATTATACAGTACAGCACTATACCACACAAACTCTAGGTACTAGGTGGCATAGCACTGCTAAAGACTCTAAATTACAGTAAATCAGTTAGGATGTTGGGGGGGGGGGGGGGTGCTGATTGAATTGCCATGCTGTGCTGCATAGCCGTGCATGAATGCAGGTGCAAAGTGGTCTCCAGCAGTGAGCTGAGGAGCTTTGAGAGCCTGTGGTGATACAGTGATACCGTGATATGGGTGCTTCCTGTGCCCTGGCCGGGACAGTTTACCAACTAAACAAACTCAATTACACAGGCTATGGCCACATACAATTTAATGAATGTTTCCCCTGGGACTCGGTCAGACTCAGTCAGACCGTGAAGGAATGCCACCACCTCCTTCAAGGATCATAGTCTATGCCTGCCTGCATGCTAGTTGGATTTTATAGCCCACTGAAAGTGAAATACAACTACTGGCAGCTACATCTGGTAGGGGTCTGGTGTTGTGCCCGTAAGTCACATCCTGGCTAGCACAGCTCTGGAAGAGCTTTCCCACCCAATGATGCGGCACATACTCCTGGACCAGGGCTTTATCCAGCTCAGTGAGAAACTCCACAGCAGCACTATCACCCAGGGAAGGCAAATCCTATTACGTGTTGTTGTCTCAAAAAAGTTTCTGGCGCTCAGCGTCACATGAAGGTTTTCGCACAGATAATCCTTATAATTATACTTCTCTTTCTCTCTACTGCATCTTCATTTGACAGTCAATTTTCTCCAGACGTTCCCCCCCCCCCCCCGTTTGCATCTTTCCCTCAAACCAGTGAGCATCTTGATTTGTTTCCGAATTGACTCTCCTCATAGTGGCACTCAGTACTGTTGACGGTTACGCAAGTGATAATGAAACATACGCTATCATATCAATGCAGACAATCAGCTAATACCACCATGGCACAGTAACATAAGCATTCTTTGCCCCGAACTCAATCTCAAAACCCAGCACAGCAGGGCACTTTATGTGGTATAAAAACCAGCCACTGAATCTCACCCTGGGAGTCACACGCCAAACAAGCAGATCGGAGAAAACTGATAAAACTGCCAGAATGTGGCACTTGCGTCCATGTACTCTCCTTATGTTAGGTAGCGTTAAAACACCATGGCAGGTTTAAGCACTGTAGTTCTCTTTGGCTGAGGATTCCACTCGTCAAACAATGCAACAGTCTGGACGTGGACAAGTACAAGGAGTCAGCTCGCTGCAATCTGCTCCTCACCTCCCAAGATACATGTAGGTCGCTGGGCGGTGAACAGAGCCTGTCTCAAAGGATTCAAAGTGACACACACCTTGCTTTATCTACCCCCTGCTTGGAAGCTCAGGGACCACCACAGCCTGGGGCAGCAGGTGCGGGACACCAATACGTTAAACCTGTGATTTTTGAAATAGTATTATAGGCTATTTTGGCCCAATTAATTACCAAAACATTTCCAGGGGGGGTTCATGGGCTTTTTCATAGCCGCACCACCGATGTAGAATACCTTCTGACGGCCCTGCAACGCTACCCCAGTACTAGTGATGGTCCACAACAGGTGGCTACCAGGTCACATGATCAGGAGTGTTCCTGTGTCTCCGGTGGGGACTCTCACTAGACTACTTGTATGCAAGCAATGGTGGCTGTCAGTGGGGGAGACTCGACCCAAGGAAACCCTTGCCCATCAGTTTGCCAAACACTTCCAGTTTCACACGCCAGTACTAGTGGTCACGGGAAGGCAATGCAGTTTCCCAACTTGAGCAAAATTAATGGAGTTACATAGCAAATGAGCCTCCAGATCCAACGCTGCACAAAAACTGCATAAGCCACTGCTCTTACTAGGGTATAGCAATGTTCGGTGTCAGTAGGGGAGATTTGACCCAAGGAAACTCTTGCCGCTCAGTTTGCCAAATAGATAGAAAAGCCCTGCAGAGCTTCACACGCCTGTACTAGTGGTGCAATGCTGAACAGTCTCTTAGATAACTTGATCAAGTGCAATTGCACTGCAAATGAGCCTCCAAATTCAATACTGTGCAAAATACATACTATATAAGCTGCCTTTTCTGATTTAGAGGCTCAACTGAGGTAGCCCGAAATCACCATTGTCTCCCGTCCTGTATGCTCCAAGGGATTGCACAAAGCCAACACACTTGACAGCCAACACAAGGCTGCACGTCATGGCCATGCATGCCGTCGGGATAATCTATTTCAGACATCATCAACTTTGTGTCGCAAGCAAATCAATTTCGTGTCGCAAGCAAATCAATCCACACTGCACACAAGTTTATGAAACACCAGCACTTTACCAGACCGCAAGGACCGAGGAACCTAAGGCATGGAGGCCACCTCACATACAGGCTCCCTAAGGGATTACAAGCAAGGATAGCAGCCACTGACAGCCCATCACTTGGGACGCAGACAGCAAGAGGAGAACATTACACGAGTGCTGTCTGACTCTACTCCTTCCATCAGAATATAAACGCCAAGAAGACATATTGTCCATAGGACGTGGAGACGAGCTAACCCCAAACGCACAGATCTACACAGCGTAATGCATGTAGAAGCTATGGACAAGTACATGTGTGATGTTCGTCTTACTGTCTGCATTTTTTTTTTTACAAATCCCGTGAATTCATGAGCCAAATTACACATCAGCTGAAGCACGAGATTCGATACAGCCAGCGACGTAGCGCAACAAACACGATTTCACAAGAGCGGAAGAAGCGACATGCCGGCGATGGTGTACGTTTCCTGGGGACCCAAATGCGGATGCTGCATTTCATCACTCCGTGTCTTACCACGCAACCACACATACATGTATCCCTATTTTGCTCCACTAACACAGACCCTTTCCCCTGGCTCGCTTGTGAGGTCTGCAGTCGATACTGGGGATATATACGCGAAGTGGTGGCCCGCCGATGCGAATGTATTTGCTTGACGTGTTCCTAAACACGTCAGGTGACGCAGCCATGACTCTGTCCAACTCTTTACTTTACTTTACTTTTTTTTTAACGCAGACTACTAGTATTATTTTTACAAGGGCTCGACGTCCAGGGGTGACTTTCACAACGTCTACTGCCATCTCAGGCAACAGGCACCCACAGGCACGACAACGCAACCATTTAGTACTAGTACCCAAAACACGAGTTTCATCGCTCAGTCCGCTGTCCACAACTTGGCACAAGTATAAACTAGCTCGTAACATACTCACACAGATCAAGTAACTATTTAGTAACCTGTAAAGTCGATTTCGAAACTCACCTCGTCTGGTGGGTTGACGTGCCTGACGAGTGGCCTCGCGCACGTCACGCTCTGCGGAAAAGACGCTGTCGTCAGCTCCGACTTCCGGCCAAAACTGACGACCTGGTCCCTGCAGAGATAGGTAGTACTCTTCGCCGGGGTCCGAACCTCGCGACTCCGCCATCGCTCCCCTGTAGCTGTCCGAGGATGCCGCCGCCGGCACGCTAACGGAGCGGGCTGTGACAACGAAACTCATCTGAGCTAGCGTCCGCCCCAGCGGTTGTACTCAAGTTCTAGCACTGCCGGAGTTGACTCCGCAACTCTTTCACCGACCGGAGTGGAGGCGCACGAAGAGGCAGTCCACTGCTCGCTTCGACAACAAGTAACTTTGAGCCAACGTTCCGCTGTCGGAAGTGCCTTTCAACTGTTCACTCACTCACCGTCTACGTAGTCGTTACGTTCTAGGTCTAGTAGTAGTTGTGACAGCGATAAATAACGACTGTGTATTACTCTGGAAATAATTATTGTCCCTTCGCCAACTGCCCGCCCGAAATAGCCAGTGGAGCTCTGTTTACGGTCGCCTGCTGGTGCATGCTAGGCACAGCCAGTACGTCTACAGGGTCGTTTCCAGCGCACACTCCATCCGCACACCGGCCGCTAGATGTAATCTCGGCCCTTCCGCTGCGCTGCAGTAATGTCAACTGACTTTCTCCGTCCTCGCTCCAAGCACAAACGGTCCTCTGGTGTGAGTGAGTCGCAACTCCTTGCCACCTTCGATGCCCACTTCAACGAAGTTTCACCTCGAGGATTCAAAACGCGGCACAAGGCAGCAAGCCGCCTCCGTGAACCATAGGCATAGATCTACGATGCAGGAGGCTCGAAGTCGAAGCAGGCTACACCTAGCGGTGACTACTGTACTGGTATAATCATGATAATGGTGACGGCCTAGCGCCTGCAAGTGAAGTGTGAGACATTAGTGCAGGTGCATTGCTGCCTTCGAAGTAATACTAATAGTTCTGTGGGTTGATGGCACGAGGTCCTTTGTGTGGAGTGGTCATTGTATCACCCAAACGACATGCACTTATTATTCATTGTACAGTAGGTAGATATGGCGGCTCAAATCAGGTGCTATCTGGAGTTGAGTTTTAGTAGGCGGGCAACAGTGAACGCTGTTCAGAAGTGTCGGATCTTCGCCTCATCTGATCTGAGCCAGGATTGATTGGCTACACTCAACGCTCGACAACGGACTGAGAATATTGATGATCTACAGCTGACGCTGCATCACACTACACAGTCACTGGATTGTATGATAATGCACCCTATTGCCTTGTATTAGATTCACTACTCGATACGGTTTGTAGCACTTACAAACGTGAAAATTATTACATAAATTAATTACAATCATGTCTTGCAATAGTTTTCACGTTTGTACAATGTCATGTATTCACGCGCCACCGAACAAACACTGAAACAGTATGGCGTGTCGCAGTCCACCGGCTGTCGACATGTCCTGTAGTGTAGGCTGTTCTGTACTGTAGTGTAGTCGTGTTGTTGTCTGTGTGCACATGCACAGCGAGCCTTTGCCTTGGTGTTATGTTGCACAGACTGAGAAGACAAAAATAAGTTCGGCAACTAGATCTGTGGTGTAGAGAGCCTTGGCTTTGGCGCATAATGCTGGCAGAGAAATCAGCAGAGTTTGGTAATGTTTCTGTTAGGTTTCTTGCTTGTTTGAAGTTAGTTGTTTACTATGGTGAATTTTTTAAATTGCTTCGTCCACTACCGGTAATTATAGAGTATTACTATTAGCCTTGGCGCATAATGCTGGCAGAGAAATCAGCAGAATTTGCTTCCTGTTAGGCTTCTTCAAAGTTCTTGCTTGTTTGAAGTTGTTCACTATGGTGAATGTGGACTAGGAAGGCGAGCAGAATTCGAGGGACGGCCAGCCATAAGCTTTTCTATGGTTCTGCCAACTAACTGGCAATAAATTATTATTATTAGTGCTTTGAAGCTTTTTGAGAAGAATATGCCAACTACTGTGACTTTTCGAGCATCATCCGCCACGGCCATTTGGGCCAGTGCATGCTCTGTTCTCGCGATAGCGTTTGCTTCTCCCTCGCGGCCGCCGCCGCCCGGCGGCACGACTTCCGCTCTTGGCGGGACACCACGTGGTGACCGTGTCAAAAACTGAAGTGAAGCGCTCCAACAAGGGTATCTGAGGGCCGTCACTGGTCAGGGCCAGGGCCGCATCCGACACGCCATCACGCGTGAGGAAATACATAACTGTACCAGTAACACGAGCGACAAGCGTGTATGTAACGACGTAGAGAGAAGATCACGTCCTAGAAAAATCAAATCCAGGAGAGCAGAACCTTCTCTTGTTTGTGCCACAGAGTGGTACAGTATGCCGTCGTGCTAGATTGTCAGGTCAGGAACTATCATTATCATCATAATCATTGGTAAAGCCAGTCTGTCAAGTCTGCCAAGTGTGTGTGAATGTCAGCCAGGCACTGACTTGAGCGTCGATCAGAAGTCAGCTGGAGAGCAGGGAAATAGTTTTCAGTTTTGAACCATGCACTTGTCATTACTATTAGTCCATTTGCCTATTCTGCTTGCCACAGTAAATACAAATTTAATACAATACAATACAATAAACTTCATTGCTCCCGACTACGACGCCCTGATCTACTCTGGGGCTGGAGTGAACCTTTCCTAGGATCCTTTGCTTTGTCGGAGTTTGGCGTCACTGAGAAAACGAAGAGAGCTAGCCCTTGACGGATAACATTGATATTGCCGGCTGGAAGAGTGGCAGAATTTGGTGCCTTTTCTGGTATGTTTCATGTATGTTTGGTATGTGGATAATGAAATAGAGCAGCCTGCCATAAGGTTTGTATGGTTCTGCCATTTTCACTGCTTTTCGAGCAGAATCTGCCAATTGCTCGAGCATTACCGGTATCCGCCAAGGGCTAAACTGAGCGCCGCAATATGGCCCTTTCGCTAGATTCGGCAACCACCTTTATAATCTAGTTTGGGAATAACGCTAGAATTTCAACAACAACGGCACTACTCGTACAGCGTCCATTACCTTGTGCTAGTGCTAGTGTTTGTGCTACTTGGATCAGTCTCCAGGCGAATGGACAGCTAACGAGGGAGCTACTGTTAATTAAGAACGCCAGTGAAGACGCTACACCACATCAGCAAGAGTGCAAGAACCAGGATGCATCAGATGGTTCTAAAAAAGACAAGAGATTTAGTAATTTTAGAGAAAGGAAGGGAACATGAAGAGTAACTGTCCACCAATGTAACTAGATACAGTCAGAAGGTACGGTCGGTAGGCACAAAACTGACAGAGTGCTGAGACATTCAACGACCTGTCACACCGGCTACTGTAGTGACCTACATGTACATCAGTACAATCATGTACTGTACATGACAGTCTTGTAGACCTGCATGACTCTTGTACATGCAGCTCCAACACATCTCCGAAGAGCTACCCCTTCCAACTCGGAAGGTTCGAGGAGCTACAGTTAGGCATATGCGGATAATGCCGACAGAAAAATTGGCAGAATTCGGTACTAGTCTTTTTGGTAAGTTTCATGCATGTATGCTTGAACTGCCTGTGTATTTTTTGTTTTAGGTTTTGGATTAGTTTCTAGATGTAGTTCTTCCTTATAGATCTATTAAATGAATCCACAATTACATAGAGCTACTGTCGGTCGACAGAAGTCTTGTAAACTTGCTTTTCTGAATGTATGCAGCCTTAGAAAGAAGTTAGGCGAAATCCAAAACTTCATAAACTACCACAATGTAGATATCTTCGGCATTGCTGAAACTTGGCTTGATTGTTCGATTTCTGACTCATCCATTCATATACCTCATTATAGACTCTTTAGGCGCGATCGCGGGCACAGACCTGGTGGCGGTATAGCTGTATACAGTCGAGATACCCTGGCTGTTTCCAGACACGCTGAACTCGAGAGTGACACAATCGAAAATCTGATACTCACCTTGAAGACAGAATCCGGTGAACCCATCACCCTCGCTACGTTCTACCTTCCGCCTTCCACTACTGCTGCAGTATGGCAAGACCTAGAAATCAGTCTGAACAATCTAACCTTGCGACGAAACCGGCAACCGCGTGGTCGCCATTGGTGACTTTGGACAAGTGCTCGGGACACAGCCGGATGCACACCATGCTCCAGCGGTTTGATCTGGAAAACCACATCCGGACACCGACAAGAGTAACGGCATCAACTTCCACCCTAATAGATCTGCTCCTCGCCCCTAACTGCCCCTCACACGTCTAACGAAGTGCGCTATCCGCGGCTTCTTCGGTCTGCCACCGTGGTCGCGCACGAGCCCGATCTTTGAACAGCTCCGCCTCACCACCCTGGAGGACATGTTTAACATTAAGCTCCTCATCTTTGTCCGTCGTTGTCTGTTCTCCCGAGCTAGCTCCCTCTTCACCAGCTTCTTCGTGAGAGTTACTGGTGACCGCACTCGGGGAGCAGCACATCACCTCGTTCGAGTACCATTTTGGCCCGGTCCTGCGGGTCGAGCGACCATGCAGTTCATCGGCGCAGTCCTGTGGAACCAGCTCCCGCCTGATCTCCGTTCCGAGCCCAGCCACCTTCAGTTCTGTGCCCTGCTAAAAGCGCATCATGGCTCCGTTTAAATGCTTTTCGGCTAGTGTGTTTCTGTGGTATAGCGGACTGAAGAATAGTAAACGTGTTTTGCAATATATGTATGAAGCTATTTTGTATATAGTATGTTCCCATTCCGTTTTTGCTTTGGTGTAGCCCTGAGGTTGATTGCTTATTTATTTCTACCCTCCTCTCTCCATACTTCTGCCCCCCCCCTCTCTCTCATTCCTTCTGTCGTCCACATGTATCAAAGGAGGCGAAATCGCCTGTTTGTGGTGCGACGTTAAATAAACTTCTACAACAACAACAACATGTTTGGTATGTGGATAAAGAAATGGAGCAGAATTCGAGGAATTGCCCGCCATAAGGTTTGTATGGTTCTGCCAATTTCACTGCTTTCCGAGCAGAATCTGCCAATGCCTAACCATAGCACATGCGATCAGATACATGGAGGTTGGCAGCGTGCTACACTAAACACACTGCTCTAAACCCCGCCGCTTCTTCTTTCATCGGATACTGTCCGTATCGGCAGACTAACAACCAAAACCATCGGATAAGAAAATGATGTGAAAGATACTGCAGTCTGCAGTGTAGCTAGCCAAGCAACTATGAGTACAGTAAGTCAAGTCCTTGCTCTTTCTACACAGCACAAACCAGGGAGTAGTAAAATACATAAATTATTGTATTTTACTACTCCCTGGCACAAACTGTCACTACGTAATTTTCCAGGATCACGTGGCGTGAGCGAATCAACGAAGACGGGGGATAACTGGTCCTACACTATAGTAATTACAGTACACGATATTCCAGATTGCTGAGTGCTCAACAGCACAAGGATGGAGCCATTGCGTTCCTGCAGTATGTAGAATCTGTGGGCATTGCAATTTGCAGATAAGACACGCACTAAGCGTGTCAGTCTCGTTTGTAGTGCATAGTCTGGCGGGGACATGGGGAACAGAGCGAACGAAGCAGAGTCCTTCACGGCTCAGCTTCACCAACAACGGATCAAATCAAAAGTCTCAATCGGCCCCAGAGCTGGACAGGATGCCGAAACTGCCGGTCGCTGAGTGGAGTCTACACCTTGCCCTGCGTGATGACTGACGCTGCAGTGATCATGGTGATGGTGTACACCAGATTAGAATGGAATGGAACGCAGTGTCTTGCTGTGTCGCAGCAGCAGCGCCCCTGCTAATCCCATCAGCTCCT